CTTCACATCCAACGATAGGGTTTCTTACCAAAACAATGGTAAGATAACAACATCTAAAGGAGGAGGAAAAAATATTTAAGACGTTTTGAGTAGGTAGGTTACTCCTAGTTGCTCGCTTGATCACAACAAAAACCTGTTATGCACCCACAACTTCATTTTGAAACATTTTTCAAAATACAAAACAATTTGCACGCATTCATATAGAGACGAGAACCATTACAAAGATATTCTTTTACAAAATACTTTCAAAACCCACATCACAAACACACTTTCAAACAAAAGCAAATGATCTAGCAAGCAACTAAGAGCCCGTAGATAACTACAGATGGAAAGGGTGCTAACACCTTCCCTTTTAATAATGTACCCCCCGAACTGAAGAAAATATCTCGAAAGGTCTTTCCTGTTCTTTTCAGCCTTTCCTTTTGGATAAAAGAAAAGTCGGTGGCAACTCTTGCTAACCGCAACAATTGCGATAAAACGCAACACAATCCAAGTCAGTTCTTCCACCGTATTACAACGGGAAATCAGATTATGTTGATGTGTTATTGATGAGCCATGGTGATGATCTGGAAGGACTGTTAGGTTATTCCATGGTAGGCGTCGTGGTTGGTGACTCCACATCTCGCCCCTCACAGTTTAACTTCTAGGATTCCTCATTCGATGGATTGCGGTTCTTATAAGATTACCTTAATATGGACGAGAATGTTAACAAGGTGAAATATGCAGGCGCTCAATAGTTGATCAAGAACATCGACACTAGTCTGATGTGAACTGTAGCGATGTGTCGAGCTCTGTTTGAGGTGTCATATTTTTTCGAAAAGAATGAGGTCGATCTGAGGAAGAAGTTCAAGGAGGTGCAGAAGGAGTAAGATTTGAAAGACACCTTGTTGGCATCCACAAAAGAGTGTGTGACAACTTTTGAAAAGAAGCTAAAATATCTTAAGGCTTTGAAACAGGAAGTGGATTCGAAGTTGTTGACTTTTGAAGAGCTCATTGGGAAACTAAAAAGTCAGCTGACCGACCGGGACAAGCAAGTTGAAGAGTTAAATGGGAAACTAGAGGATGCGGTGATGGGCAGTCTTCTTGCATGGGACCAGGGTTTTGACAAAGCTAAGAATCAAACTCTATTCCTCTATATGACGATTGATTTGTCGAGTATTGGCTTTTTCAAGGTTATCTGAGATAGGTAACTCGTTATGGAGGAAGAGATGGAGACCACCCCGGAGTTGGACAACACGGATGAACGCACTCCTTCTCCCGATAAGAATGCTGGTGAAAAAGCTTTGATTGAGGAAGTCGTTGTGCAGACACCCCCTAAGAATGTGTAGTCTCTTCTTTGTATGTAATTTTGAAGTGTTTTGAGCCATGTATGACTTGTTGTGGTGTTATTTTGATATTGGTGTTTTTTTTTTGCATTTTATTGCATTGCCAAAAACTCTTCAGCTTTTGACATTTTATTGTTGGTTTTACCTATGTTTCATATATTTTTTCTTTTATTTAGAGTTTTGTTTTTTTGTGTCTTTATATATATATATATATATATATATATATATATATATATATATATATATATATATATATATATATATATATATATATATATATATATATATATATATATATATATATATATATATAGATTTTTTTAATAGTCTAACTCGAGTCTATTTAATTAATAAATTTTAAAAAAAATTTAAGTCTAACATTTTTATTAAATAGACCATGTCAAATTTTAAATAGGTCAGATTATATGTTCTTGTAGTATGATCTGATCTATTTTCATCCCTATTTACGACCAATAGAAGAGAAAATTGATAAAAACACAATCTTAACGCACATGATTGAATTGATACTAATTTATCATAGTTTGTTGTATGTATACACAAAATAGTTTTAAAATCGAACCTAATGACAAATAAACTAAATGAAACTGAAAATGAATCGAATCACCGAATCAAATCAATTTGAAGTTAAAATAAACGATCTATTATATTTGATTAGTTAACTGAATTTGTGTTGCACAAATTAATTTTAAAATCGAATCAAATGATAAATAATAACAAAATTGAAAAATGATAAAAACAAACTTAAATTTTTTATTTAAATTTTTTTTACAAAAAAGTATAACAGTTCGGTTTAGAATAAATTGTCTTATAATAATTTAATACGATTTATAATTTTGAACCAATATATGAAACTAATAATTTTGATTCTTTTGATTATGAATATAAATTGGAATGATCTTTTATTATAATCTAGTTCTATTAATTTTCTAAATGAATTCATAAAAAGCTCTACACCCAACTCATCTTTGAGTTTTATTACTCACGCCTCTCCCAATAGGGGCGTTGTTTTAGTTTTGGGACAATATTTTGAACATTGTTGTATTTCCTAGTTCGGTGAACATAAAGTACATAACAATTTACCCTAAGAACATCCAACGTATTTGTTGAGAATTATATTTTGAGTGTCACCACCACTCATTGAATTTCTAATTCGCATGGATTTCATTTTCAAATTATCATACAAAAAATGCATGACTTTCATCATACACTTGTGATTTTAGTCACTAAGTATGAACAAAATATATGGGTAGTTGCAGTAGTTTTGAATCAATAAAAAAGTAGGTATATCAAACAATATAGATCCTTTTATTGCATGTCTATGACATTTTCTTTGTGTTACTACCAAATTGTAAATAACATTTGTCAAGATCTAAAATATTCCATTAGCTGGCTACTATAAAAACCAACACACATATTTAAGAAAATAACATAAGTGCTGTGTTACAAGACAAATTAATTAACATGAAGATAATTGTTATTATTGTAGCTATCATTTTCGGAATTGTGCTTGAAGGATGCAATTGTAAGATTGTGCAATTCATTTTTGGAGACTCTCTTTCGGATGTTGGAAACAATATGCATCTCTCTAGAAGCCTTGCTCAAGCTAACCTCCCTTGGTATGGTATAGACATGGGTAATGGGTTGCCTAATGGAAGATTCTCTAATGGTCGCACCGTTGCTGACATTATCGGTAAAATCTTTTTACTTTTAAGCTATAAAACATTCATGATAAATTGAATATAATCACATGTGTCAGTGTTGAACACAAACTGATGTCAGACACCAGATACACATTTATTCGGAGTTGTCTGAGCTAATGATAATGATGTTATACATTTTCAGGAGACAAATTAGGCCTACCTAGGCCTCCTCCGGTCCTAGACACATCTTTAACTGAGAAAGATATACTAATAAATGGATTGAATTATGCTTCTGGTGGTGGTGGAATCTTGAATGAAACCGGCACTTATTTTGTGAGTTGCAAGTGTCAACTTTTATACTATATGTGTCTCATATCATGGCATTTATTCAATACTGATATATTTAGGATGAACCAATTATTTTTCATGCAGATTGAAAAGTTATCACTAGACAAACAAATCGAACTCTTTCAAGGGACACAAGAACTAATTAGAGGCAAAATCGGAAAAAGAGGAGCGGAAATTTTTTTTAGAGAAGCCCGTTATGTTGTTGCTTTAGGTAGCAATGACTTTATAAACAACTACTTGATGCCTGTGTACACTGATTCATGGACATACAATGATGAAACCTTCATGGACTACCTGATAGGAACACTAAGAAGACAATTAAAGGTTTATTGAATTCATGACTCTAAAGTTCTCATGATTCATTTACTTAATGAGAATATTTATGTTTTTTTTGTATTGTTTGTGTCTTTAGGTACTTTATAGTTTAGGAGCGAGGCAATTGATGGTGTTTGGGTTGGGTCCAATGGGATGCATTCCACTTCAAAGGGTGCTTACTACAACTGGAAATTGTAGAGAAAAAGTTAACAAACTAGCTGTTACTTTTAATAAGGCTTCAAATGAACTCGTCAATGAATTGGCGAAACAACTTCCGAATTCAAACTATAGATTCGGAGATGCATATGATGTTGTATCTGATTTGATTAGTAATCCGACTAAGTATGGTAAGTACATATGTTACTCAATCTCTCCCTAATTAATCACATGCATATATATGTACTATTAGGATCAGTTTTAATCTAGTTATGTTTGGTTTGTAGGGTTCGAAAACTCAGACAAGCCATGTTGTTCGTTTGGGAGAATTCGACCAGCACTTACGTGCGTACCAGCATCGATATTGTGCTCCGACAGAAGCAAATATGTGTTTTGGGACGAGTATCATCCCTCAGACAGTGCTAACGAGCTCATTGCAAATGAACTTATTAAGAAATTTGGATTTTCGCGCGTTGATCAAGTTGCCGCTCCTTCACCAGCACCTGATATTGCTCCATCTCCACAAAACTAATCATTCAAGGTTTTCTTGCCTAAATTTGCATGTCATTTGTTGTGGAAACAAATTTCTTTCTGTTATGTTTCATGTGAACTTGTCTTTATGATTAATATCAAATATTAAAACAAATTAATATTAAATATGTAGACCATATGATATGAGATACTTTTTAAGTCTACTAAGTGGCCAATACCATAATTACATAAATTAAACAAACATTTTGGATTAGTTCTGAGTTCACTTTCCAGGAACATGGTTTATACAATCTGTGGGTGGACAAATAATTCTTCATTTTTAAACATCTTTTTCTGGACAAAAGCAGTGCCTAAAGAAAAAGGCTGTTTGTCGGTTAAATTCCAAATGCATCCGTATCTAGCCAGTGGACGGTGGAGGAATTTTTCGCACCAATATGAATATTTAATTATCCAATTTTCAGATTCTAAGAGATGCTAATTGCTTATGTTATGTTGTTGGAAATTGACAGTGAAGAACTGATAAAATAAGCAGAAGTTACATAACTAGAAGTTAATCAATCACCATACATGAGTTCTTGAGATCTCATACCCAAACACTAATTAGTTTTTTCTTTCATCATACATAAATGCTTATACAACTCACATGTCAACTTAATATATTGTTTTACATAGAGGAACTAACATTTAATCAAGCAGCACATCATTATGGTGCTCTTGGAGTGTGACGACCATTTGGGCCAGATGGTGGATAATCATGGAGTTCTAAATCCATCCTTTCAGTAATGTTTAACTCTTCAGAGTGCAAGTTTTTTTCAGTAATAACCTGCAAACATAAGCGCGTTAAATTGGTGTTTATGGTTTTTTTTTTTGAAGTGCAATATTACTTGTCTTAGAGAATATTAGATTGTACCTTAGGGGTATTTTCCAGAGTAATTTGGTGAACTTGGACATCTTGCATAAGGTTTTCAGTTCCTTCTTAATACAAACATGTCGTATATTAGACTCAGACTAAGAAAATGAAGGAAAACGAGATGCATGTTTAGATAAACAATGAAAGTTGTAGAAATTACTTGTAACTGGGACTGCAGTGGAGAATAAAAGATGCGAAAGGCCAAGAAGAATCACGAAAAATCGAAAGAAAGTTCCTGTCATGCCTGCAACGATCGTTCTCAGCAGCAAGCTCTAGGTTATGTTTTCCTCTCATATGCTAGTTCTCAGTTTATATATACACCGGCATAAGATCTTTGAGAATGTTTATTTAACATGGAATGTCGATATGATGGAGCAGCAATATTATCATATTGCCAAAGTCATAAAGTCGATAGCAACCCATCATTTCTTGGAAGACCAACATGTTTCCACACGTTGGTAAACTTTCATCAATTTCTGTCTTTTACCTGTGAAAACTTAAATTAAGACTTCAACTTTTGTTTTTTTTTACCGGAGTATCACACTAAGTGCGTGTTTAGATTGACGGTAAGATTAACATAATCATGGTTAGTAGCTCCAATTTAAGCAAAAACTACACTTCGTAGCGCCAATAAAATCCCGGTGTCAAGCTCACCCCAAATCCAAACACAAGCTAATTTGTTTATGATTTAGAAGCGCACAGTTTCAGGTCTAAGTCTTTACCAACAAGTCAATTTTAGGGTTAATTGTAAAATTTTCCTATGCACAATTATGATATTTTATATTTAATAGTAATTGTTTTGGGCCAACCTGACTACTGGTCCAAAAAGAGGAAGCACAATCGTTAGTCCTGGTCACTCCACTAAAACACTGAAGGTATAATACAACTCTACTCTAGGGCTCCACACTGGAAATTCATACCAATTATTGTTTCTACCGTTATATGTCATCAGAAGGTCTCTCGTATTTCATGATGAAATTGTAGGGAATGTATAACCGTCATTCACATATAAGACATTTCACATGAGACTTGAGTAATTATCTTTCTAACCCATAAATCAATATACTCTTCATTCTCTATTCTCTTAATTTAAATGTTAGAGTGCAATTGTGGTACCGGAGATTCACTCCACTACATCAAGACTCTACACCACCATTTCACTAAACATTTCTGGTTCATAAAAACAATATTGCTAAAGAAATCCAAATTTAAACTACTTAAAACTAGGTAGACATCAAGTTAGTATATATTTTAAGTCAATGTGGAGTACCCTATGAAAGTGGAAAGATGACAAAGAAATATTCTTGAATAAATTACCTAAGGTGGTATATAACCAACCAAAGTCAAAGTTTAGTGGGAAATGGCCATTAAATCTTAAAGAATATTTTATATAGGCTATGTGTGATTATTACAAGAAGAGGAAAGGTGGGGACACAACCAAGAAACTCACAAGAAGACTCCAACACTTCACATATTGCCTCAACTCACGAAAAGGCAACAGCACTAGCAATATTAGGAAAACAGCTAGATAAATGGTTATCCATGTTCAGCCAGGTCAACTACTTTTTGTCAGAGTCCAAATTTTCTAAACGAGAGATATTGAATTTTTGGTCTTGTGATTTTTACAACTGTAGTATGCATTTTTCTGTAAATATGTGCATGTATTGATCAACAAAGAATAAAAAAGGTTCAAAAGTTGTTAACAGCCATGTATGTTATTGCTAGTGGGAACAGAAATTTTCTTCATTAAACTAATCTGAATAGTGGCAGCTTTGTCTTCTTCACACCATACAAAAATTCCAAAGGAGGGCATAGGTTTTGAAAGCATCTAAAAAGGTAATTTAATTTCTTAAATGAGTATTTAACTTGATTGTGTGATTTTCATGTGAACACGTCTACTATCATTTTGATTTTTTTATGTTTATATTTTTAACAAGCATGCATTCTACAATCAAGCACACCTCACCAATAACCCCTTAACCAAGGTACTTAATTAGTGGGACATTCTAGTAATGAGTAAAGCAATTTCCATTGGCAATGTTTTGATGTTTCTATAGTGTTCCTGTATTTATTTAAATATATAGTGTGCGCCTATTTGTCTCCCTTTCATGTGTCAACAAAAATAGTGTTGGGAAAATCAATCTAAACTGTTAGAATTTAGTATTTGATTCATAGAAAGCTAAAGATTTTGAAGGTGTTAAAAATGTGACAAGAAATTGTGCCATAATTTACCAAAGTGATTGGCAAGTCACACTCCATGTTCATTTAATGTTATCTTTTAAGCAAAAGATGTGTAGGTGATTGATCACTTTAAGTCGTGCAGGTGTATTTTATGAATGAGCGTCTATTTTTATAGTAACTTTCTGAGTAAAGTCCTCAAATTTATAGGGTAGTACAGAATTATAATTCGTTGCAATATTGTAAAAAAAAAATCATCGCATTATTGTAATTAATTGAGATGGTAAATATAAAAAAGTGATACTAATATACTCTTACAAAAGAGATAACATTAAGAATATAATTATAATATATGATTAAATGTCCGCAAGTCCTAGCTCAAACTAACAAAAATTGATATTATTAGATTGGACATTAACACCAATGTTCAAACTCTAGATTTCACAAAAAAAATGATATTATTAGATCGGACACTAACACCAATATTCAAACCCTAGATCACAAAAACCGATATTATTAGATCGGGTATTAACACCAATGTTCAAACCCTAAATCTCATAATTGTGTGTGTGAATTTCTAATAATTATTGTCGCTTAGTCTACATATATAAAGAATGAAATATAGATAAAACAATCTAGAATATGCATTATTGAAGGCCTCTCACATTATACATGTGTTTATCTCTGGTTTTGGTAAACAACGATGGTCTTTTAACAAAAAGTTTACTGGCGAGATCGACCAGGGAATCTCAGTACAATATTTCAGTTTTCGAGTGTTTTCACAAAGTGTGTTCAAAAGGATTCATTAGACTAGTGTCAAACGAGTTTATAAGTAATAAAGTAAGGTTTGTAAAATAAAACAAAATGCGTTTTAAATTGTAAACGTAAATGACAATAACATCAAAATAGTTGAAAATAAATTGATTTAAATGTACATTGCCCTAGCTTGACTCATTTCGCTCGTTCGTATGGGTACTCTGAGTGACTAGCTTAAAGGAATGTGAAAGTTTGAACCTCTAATACTATGCACTAAGTGCTTTATTTATAATATACCAAAATAACTACTTTCTAGCGGACTTTGCTTCTTCGTACGCCACATCTATCTTGTAACTTCTCTCCATGATCCCACATTCTCCATCCGTACTCTCGAATCCACGTTCTCCAAGTTTCCCTCCAAAACGCTTCGCTCGCTTGATGAATCTTTTAGGCCTTTTGACGTTTCTAGGCCCAATGATTTATGAAGTCCTCCCTGGTCGACTGCTCCTGTTTACAGGCCCAATCGCTTACTTGTGGAATCTCTCCAGGTCGACTACATTAATAGTCTAATACTTTGTAGAATCTCTCTAAGTCTTAGGTCGACTACATCAGTAATCATGTCACATAAATCATCTTTTCTAATAGAACCTTTTTTATCATTTTCTTTTGGTTGGGTTTTCGTCCTTCTCGAAAAACCCAGCCAACAAATTACCCCTCAAAATGTCTTTTTCGACTGAAAAGGGTAGAAACGGACATTTTAATCCTTTTTACTTAGTACAAACTAACGTCATCGTAATCATGACCTTTCTCAGAAACGTCGCGTCTGCAAACAAACAACCATTATACTACTTTTTAGCTTCAACTTCCTAAGATAAACGTGGCAGCTAACTCAACAACTTCTTCAATCAATCGCCACCTGCCGGACACGTGCCGGTCGTGTGGCCACATCTCTCCCACTTAAACTCAGCCTCTTCGCCCAATTTTAACAAAGGAGAAAATTCCATAGTTTTTCCACTCATGTTTGACACGAATCGTCTCAAAAAATTTATCTTTCCCAACAAAGATTGGAGATCTTTCTTCGTTGTTGGCACTTTTGTACTCAAAATCGCCTTGGTTTTGTTCTGGTTGATTTCTATACCCTTTTTGTGTACCACAAAACCTAGAAAATCTCCCGGTTATCCTGATGAATTTGCTCTTCAACAACCGTTCGATCTATGTTTTCATTTTGGATAACACTTATGGCGCGAACCTCATTGGTATTTGTTTGACTGATCGCTTTCCTAGGTTTATGGGTAGTATAATTTCCACCATCTCCCTGCTCAAACCAGACATCTCGTTGTAATCCCATGCAAATCAATCTTTAAATTCTTTAAGGAGTTCTATCACTCGATTCTTCATCTTGCTGCCGATCTTGGTGTTGATGTATGTAATTCGCCTAATCATTCCATCACCCAGGTCAACTTCCTTCAATGGATCTTGTGCTTGCATCTTCAAAATATTATCTTTTGGATCTTTCTCAAACTCCAAAGGCTCCTCTTCATATATGCAGTTAAGCCTCTGACTTTCTGAAGTTGTTGTTTGGCTTGATTCTCCAAGCTTTTCTACCATAATGGCTTCAGGCGCCACATTTGAAACATTTCCAGCCTCTAAGGCCGAATTTATCCTGTTTTCAGTTATATATGCCAAAATCCTTGCAAGAACATTTGACTCAGACATCATCATGAGTTTGATCTTCCCACCCCGTGGGTTCAAACTCCCCTTTTGTAGTGGAATACATATCCAATTTTCCTTGGTCCCAAATGAAACCATGAGTGAGGTGTGAGGTTAGAAACTTGATTGCATCAAGATATGACTTAAACATTGCATCTTCAGGATCTCACGGAGGTATGGTGGTTAATGCTTTGTCAAAATTCTTCCTATTGACCATATTCACATCAGCAGTAAAATAATCATGGTCTGCCTCAATATTCTCCACAATCCCATCTTAACTCCATATGGATAAGCGTTGATGCAGAGTTGATGGTATTTCCCCAATGCCATATATCCACTCACACGCTAGCAATAAATTATAGTTTACTTTAGACTAAATCTCCATATACAATGTTGGCCTTGAATTCGAGTCAATTGACAAATTCACTTGAATCACACCTAGTATGTAACTTGTTTTTCCTTCACAGTTCGACAAAAACCATATTATGTGGTTTGAGGTCTGTGTCAAACTTGCCAATCCTTTTCAGCGATGATTATAGCATCAAGTTCACAGCACCACCACCATCAATGAACACTTTGTTCAGAGAGAAACCATCAACTTCAACCCTTATAAACAAAGGCTTGAGATGGTATCATCTCAGATCTAGGCTTCTCAAACATTTTCTGTTGTTCTTCCACTACCCCATTATTCATGACGTAGTAGTATATAGAGGTTTTTAGCCAGCAGATTCTTTGCACATGGCTTATTCTTCATCCCCAGACGCTTCTGACGTGAAACCATACTCATTAGGAAAGACCGACACAATATTACAGTGAATAATCAAACCATCTTCTGAGTTATCGGAAAAATCATCAGACAATTCATCGTCCATGTTGTCACCAGGATCTTTAGCTTTTGTTGGCGGCGCACTTACAACTAGCATCGACGACCTCTCTTTTGCTGGCCGACGATGCCTTTTCTTCTGGTCTCTCTCGTATTTCACTGGAATAACTTTTGATGCCACTTCTCTTGCAACTTTTTTGTTTCTTTGGAACCTTCTCCATTGAGTCTTCATCATGGGATTCTTTCCTTTGTATGTGGGAGGAACATGATACTTCTTTGAGGTGATCCCAACTTCACCAAATTGAGAAGAACTCGATCCCTTCTTCATCATTTCTCACTTATGACTCGAACCATAATCTTTCTTCACTACCTTTAAATTTTGGTTTGTCCCCCTTGGATAGAAAGGACGAACCCAATTATTGTTAGGAGTATCAGTTGGTGGCACAAAAGTCCTTTGATATGGAAACTTAAGTTTTCTTTGAGGCACTTGGACTTTGTATGGCCCCTTCGCATGGTCGAACACCACCTTTGGATTTTTCTCTTGAGGGTGTTTCTTCTTCAGTGCCTCAATTTTCTTTGCAGCATTTTCATCATAGACCACATTACAATTTGGACATAACGTAGACCTAAAATTACTCAACTTGCATTTATTCAGAAAATCCACCAATTCCTCCTCAGGTTTGGGAAACACAACCTTAATCAATTCAACAACGGTTTCTTCAGATAATTCCTCATTCTTGATTTTGCAATTCATTTTTTCCTTGTCGCCCTGATTACTCCCAGGCTCTTCAGCAATATCAACTACCATCACTTCATGTGGCTTAGACAAATTGCCATTGCCACTTTTGAGACCTTCAGTAGTCTCGACTGTCATAGCTACCATTGAATTAGTAGTCACAACTTGTTCATTCTCAAAACCGTCAGTAGTCTTGAGTGTCAATGTTGCCATTAAGTCGATAACATTGGTCTATTTGCCTTCGAGACCATCAGTAGCCTCAATCATCAGCACCTTCAATGGTTCGACAAAATGTGCATCAGCAACATGTAAAGGGTCTGAGTCAACCTTCATCGAGATTTTTGGTTTTTCACCAAATTTCAATTGACCATCTTTCAAAGCCTTCTGAATCAAATTCCTAAAAATAAAATATTGAGAAGTATTATGACCCAAAAAATTATGATACTTACATAAATCTCTTTTTTATTTCTGTTCTAATGATAGATTTTTACTGCCTGTAGGCGCTATAATCTGACCATTCGAAACTAAAACATGAAATGTTTAATCACATTTTGACACATTAAAAGTATATGTTTTAGTATTAGATATATCATTTTTTGGTTCTTCAACTGTTTTTCCTTTTGATGTCTTAAAAGTTTACATGCATATGAAAGTCCAGTTTTTAATTCAGCCACGTTAACTTCTCCTTCTTCTATGCATTCGTCTTCAGATTCTATAGAATAATCTTTTGTGTCTACATAGGTCACTTTTCCTTTTCTATGATCCTTTGAAACTCTATCTTTCTCTGTTTTCAAGCATTCGACATATCGAACATTATCATCTAGTTGAGACATATCTGTAATAGATTGAGGATCAAACTTTTTTCTAATAGAATAATCTAAACCCCCAGCGGCCATTTCGACCAGCTCATGTTCAGGAACTCTAATAAAACATCTAGATTTTAGGACTCTAAACCTATTCAAATAAGCCTCCATTGACTCATACGACCTCCTCTTGATTGGGGATAATTCTTTTAAACTTATCTTAGGATGACCAGCATAAAACTGCTCGTGAAATATGCTCTCAAGTTGTTCCCAAGTGCGTATAGAATTTGGGGTCAATATTGTAAACCAAGTAAAATCATTTTTGGTTAATGAATTAGGAAAATATCTTAATTTTAAACCCCCGTCATTGGCGATGTCGCCAGCTTCTGTTTCGTACCTAGCAATGTCTTCAATGGTCGACTCATTAGCATCACCAGTAAACTTGGTAAACTTAGGTACCTTACATCCCATAGGTAATTCTACATGTCGAATATAATCAGGTAAGGGAGAAGAATAATTAGGCCTCTGAAAGACAACATTTGCCCCAGATCGTGTTAATACTTCTTATACTACATTTACTATGTTGTTACACCCAACAGTGACATTTCTTAACACTCGATCAGCATCTTGGTTCCTCCTAACTACGACTGGCCTAGGTTCGTATTGTTCAACGAATTCTTCCTCTTCATAAGTGGGTACTTCCACCCTTCGAGGTCTAAAAGGACGTTCATTATTGCCTCCCTCCAATTCTTCAAAAACTCTTAACGGCCTGTGACGCGTCTGAGTTGGTTGGACCCCTAATGAGTCGATCAATTTGCCTATTTAATCAACTACAGGATTGAGGAAAACTCCCATTTGCTGAGTTAAGATATTTATTAACTCTAAATTGCTCTCATCCATTTGTTGCCTTAAAGCCATAACAAAAATAGTATTTGAAGACGACGTCAACTAAGGGATGTAACCACACCACCTGGTCGACCACCTGAGCCATAACTGCCTTGATTTCCATTGGCCACTATGTTTTCTATGTACGAGGATGTGTTCGACTGTAACCCAACCATCATGGAATAAGGCATACCGTATTGATAAAGGACAAATGATGATCCTGAACCCCCTGGAAAGAGTAGTCGATTTGGGTCAAATGGTGATACATTATGCCTACGTTTTGTTGTCGTGATTGTTGTCACTGAACCATAATCAGCGGTCGACCTCACAGGAGATAAAACCGTCGCACTTTGAGTTGTGGCACTCACTGATATGACATATACATTGTGTGTAGAAATTTGTGTATGTGCAGTGTTCGTGTCAGAGCGTGACATTTTAGACTTTGACAAATATTTACCACTTCATAAATTCATACACACACAAACTAAACTACAAGAAACTTTGTAAAACCAAACACAAATACGAAATTATTAGCACTGTCCCACTGGGCGTGCCAATTTATTTATCTCTAGTTTTGGTAAACAACGCTAGTCTCTTAACAAAAAGTTTACTGACGAGATCGACCAGGAAATCTCGGTACAGTGCTTCAGTTTTCAAGTGTTTTTACAAACTATGTTCAAAAGGATTCGTTCGACTAGTGTCAAACGAATTTATAAGCAATAAAGCAAGACTTGTAAAATAAAACAAAAGGCATTTTAAACTGTAAACGTAAATGACATAACATCAAAATAGTTAAAAATAAGTTGATTCAAACGTACATTGCCCTAGCTTGACTCATTTCGCTCGTTCGTTTTGATACTCTGAGTGATTAGCGTATAGGAATGTGAAAGTTTGAACCCCTAACTCTATGCACTAAGTGCTTTATTTATAATACACCAAAATAACTACTTTCTAGCGGACTTCGCTTCTTCGTACACCACATGTATCTTGTAACTCCTATCCATGATCCCACGTTCTCCATTCGTACTCTCAAACCCGTGCTCTCCAAGTTTCTCTCCAAAACGCTCCGCTCGCTTGATGGATCTTTTAGGTTATTTGACGTTTCTAGGCCCAATGACTTATGAAGTCCTCCCTGGTCGACTGCTCATGTTTTCAGGCCTAATTGCTTATTTGTGGAATCTCTCCAAGTCGACTGCATCAATAGTCGAATACTTTGTAGAATCTCTCTAAATCTTAGGTCGACTACATCAGTAATTCATGTCACATAAATCATCTTTTCTAATAGAACTTTTTTGATCCTTTTTTTTATTGAATTTTGGTCCTTGTCAATAAACCCGCCAACAACATGGATGATGGAAGTGTGTATAGTGAAGGGATAAATTTTCTCAAATATTTCTTCTTTAATAATATCAATTACTTTGAAAAATACTAAAAAGGGAGTTTGAAAAATACCTACTATTATAGGCTGAACCCTCAGACACCCGGACAACATATTAAGGTGGGGTGAACTGTGAATGATATGAAGAAAGAAAACTATCCAAACTCAGATTTAGATCATCTCCCTCACACTCCTCTACATCTATGCTTTGTCAGTACATTCTGCTTTGTTAACAGATTCAAAATTATCAAATTGTTACACCGGAGAGATCTTACAGTTATAAAGAGAGTGCATAAATATAGTTACACGCCATCGTTTGAATAGATCAACTTCAGATATGACAATGTGACCACCTTCTTTACAGTCACAGAGATAGAGCTCTGAAAAATGTCATCATTCCAACCCCGGATAGGAATGAACCACACAATATAAATTAATACGTATAAAATGTTTGTTTTCTTCATTGAATTCTACATCCTCCAGTATCTTGTCCGCGCCGAACATTACCAAAAGCAGACAATTCCATCATATCCATATCACGATCTGTAATTCATCCGGTATTTCCATTAGTGAGTTTCCAGTTACTACAGCTAAGTAGGATCATTAGAGTCATACAGACATACCTGAAACCCTGCAATAAGAACTCTTCTGAATAAGATCAGATTTGGAGACATCTGTTCGATTACCCTTTGATCGATTAACTGTTGCCTGGAAATTATGGACAGAACTTTTATCAAGTGAATGCAAAAGGGATCAAATAAACTAGAGCTGGCAACATGAAGATAGCAAGAACAAGTCAACTAGAAGAAGGAAATCATGCCAGCATTTAATGACATTAATGTTAATAATTGGAACACTCGTCCATAGAAAGTTTGAAAGCCGCAGAATAGTGTGATAAAAACACCAATGTGACATCCAATGACTTGAAATATCCACACATTTGTGTTAAATATCTAAAAAATCCTCTCATCCCAGAATATGTTAGAGAATATAGTTAACTTTTATAATTATCTTCAACATTACCTTATTTAGTTAGGAGTAAGAATCTAGTATTAGTATTGTCAAAAAAGAAAATCTATAATTAGTAAAAATTAGGGGTGGTAAAACGGGTTGAGTCCGCCGGGTTGGACCGTTTGACCGTCATTTTTGACGGGCTAGACTGAGTTTTTCGGCTCGGTACCTTAAGTTGACCCGCTCCGCCTAACCCGCTTAAAAAAGAGGGGCGGGTTTTCCCTGCGACTTTTTGTTAAAACTTTTATTCTTTTTATTAAGAATTAAAACAATTTTAACTATAAAAACAACACTTATCTCTTAGGATTGTATTATAAATTATTATACAAACAAATTGAATTATAATTGTAACGTTCTTTCTATAACTTTCTAATACATGTGTTGATTGAAAATGATTGAAATAAAAGAACAAATGTATGACATGCATAATTATTAAGTTTTTAATATATTAGTTCAGATGTTTTTTTTAGAAATAGATGTTGATTTTAAGAAAAAGAAGAATTTGATTAGTGTATACGTGTGACAAATTTTGGATTTAACTATTAAAGAATCGGTCAATATAAGAGTCTATATAATATAAACAGTGAGAAAGTTCGGTGTTGATATTTTACGCATTAATCCAGATGAATATATGTCATCAACATTAATCCAACCTCATGATATCTGCATTTTGATAGCAATACCAACAAGCCTGTTTCAAATTCACCCTACTTCAATTTTGCTCCAGCAATCGTATACATCCAAGTCTAAATTAGTTCACTGTCCAGAAATATGGTAATGAAATCCCATGACAAAAAACTAAAAAACGGTGCTTTATAATATATGTTTTCACTTTAGAACTCTTAATAGATAATCCATAACATAGAAAAGCACATTATACAATAATTAAACTTATTACAAATTAAAACGTGCATCCCCTGCTGGGTTTTTTCTACATATGCAAACAGAGAAATGAAGTAAAACAAGGAAACGTTACCTGCAATACTTGACAGTTTTCCAGTGTGCTTTGGCCCCCCTGGATTTCACAAAACACCAAAACCAATAAGTAAAAAGAAAAACGATTAAGACGTGATCAGAAGATAACATAAAAATTTGCCATTATTCTTTTATTGCATTCACTTAAAAGAATAATAACTTATGATAAACCAGTTTGCTGTTTACATTTTATTTCAATTAACTCTAGCTATGTTTGGGGCTTTGAAACATAGCCTAAATTAATCTCTTTCTAATAGTTGTTCATATTCATATAGATCAATACGCCGACACCAATAATAATTTAAAAACTGAGTACATGAAATGTAATAGAGAATGTCGGAGTCAGTTTCGGACACTAATAATCTAACACATTAAAAAAAGTGACAAAACTCGTAAATAGAAAAAGGAAAAACCTTAGAGTAAGGAAGAATGTGATCATAATCATGACAGAGACAACCAGGGCAACCTACAAGCTTCCTAAAGATAAGATTCCCGAGAGGATCCCTCCGCCATCGATCGGGGTCCCGTCCTTTAACCTTGTCAGCTTTTTCCCAACATTTCTGCTTGACATTGTGTGGGAAGGATCGAGGATTAGGGTTAGAGTATTCGCCAAAGAGAGCGGTGTTTGGTTCATGATCGAGTAGAGTGGTGGCAGCAGAGGGAGAAGAGGTTAGTTCAGATTGCGATGATAATTTTGATGAACTAGTTCTGGTTCGGTCCTTCAACGGCGAGGTTGAGTTTGTTTTTCTTCTCCTTTCACGACTGGCGCTGGCGGCGGCAGCAGAAGACGAACGGCCCCTCATTTCTTTGCCGCGTCTCAATTTATTATCCGATATATCTTATCTTATTGTTTACTAGTAGTACGATAAATTTGAACATTTATCGTTTCATAAATTTTTGCTAATTTTTTTTTTATCAAATAAATATTTAAGATAAAGGTATCCTTCCATCGATGGAACATAACACAACCTTAATGTTTCTATAAAAAAAAAAACACAATTTTTATTTTTATTTTTTTGAGAATCAAGAGGATTTAAGCTAAAAAAAAATAATTATTAAATGACTACAATTCAGGGGATTGAAGTCTTAGAGTAATCTAGTGAAATCATCAAGATAATTGTGATAAATCTAGAGACTAATATCATGATGTAAACTTTTATTTGTCATAACATTTGCATAATGATTAATTTTTTTATGAACATGTTTGATTTGAACTCCTCAATCTTCATTTAACCAGAGCTTTATTTGGTGCAATATGTTACACCCTTCTTTGATGTTTGAAGACCATTTGATAAGAACCTTAACGATTGCTTCGTTGTGAGCTTGTAGTTTAATTTTTTGTATCCCTTTTCAAGAGCAAATTTAAGACCCTCATTTAAGACCCTCAAGAACTCCCCATAACTCAGTTATAAGACTATTGCATACTTCAATATTCTTTGAGAAAGCTCCAAGCCACTTCTTGCCTAGGTTGTTCTTGAGTAACCCATAACAACCAGTTTTCTCATTGTTCATTGTGACTCCATAAACATTGATCAAAGTTCAGCCCTCCCCGAAAGGTTTCCAGCTTATGTGAATTAAAAGCGAGTTCTTAATACTCGGGCACTGCTAGAACTTTATGCTCATGTTGTAGAAAAAGGGCATCCTTCTAATATCATCAAACAACACGGTAGGCATGACATAGTTATCATCATGGAGCTTTTAGTTACACCAAAACCATAAAGAGTGACAAGTTGTGGCCCATAACGTCTTCCATTCCTCGAGATTTCCATGACCAAGGTTGAGGTGCATATTCATCTTCATCCAATCCAACAAACCTACATCACACAAAATATTCCAACATGAAGCTCTAAGAATAAAGAGCCAAACTGGTTTAGTAGCAAGACAGTCCCTCAAGGCATGAATCACACTTTCAATTTCCTTTGTGTAATGCGTTCAAGAAGGATCTCTTATGTTCACCTTGCTAAGACGAAGATTTTTGGTGAGGCTTTCAGGTTTGACTAACCAAATGAAAGCTCAAATCCTTTTAGGGTTTTTAAGGACCAGATGTTCTTCCAAAGGTTATTTTGCTCATGATTACTACTATTAAGAATTCGAATATGAAACACATTGTTGACAGAGAAACCCACATTCTTTATGCCTCTCCACAAACAAATATCCTCACCATTACTAGATCTAGGTAGATGGATAGCCAAATTTTCTTCAATGATGTTGTGAGGCAGAAAAATGGTAAGAAGCGCAAAGTTCCAGTCTCCATTCTCATTAACAAGATCAATAACTTTGACAATTTAAGGGTAGGGTTGGCTATTTATTCTTACATCATCAAGAACTCATGAGGGAATCTACGAATCAATTTAGGCATTTGATTCCTTCCCATTGCCAATGTCCCAATGAGTATGAGTTTTCAACTTATTCAAGTCTTTGCCAAGACTCTTCTAAAATTTGGAGTCTTTGCTAAGACTGTAAAGATCAAACATTTTCAAACATTTACAATGTCCCATAGCAAACTTTGTAAAGATGCCATTGTTTATTCAAGTATTTTGAAAGTGTTTGATCTTTTGAAAATGTTTTCAAGTTTAAAAGATGTTTTTGAAAGTGTTGGTGTTTGTTTTGAAAATAGAAAGGATGTTTTTGTTTTGAAATTGAGCAAGTAACTAGGAACATTATACCTACTCAAAAGTCTTTCATATTCATTTCCTATTTCCTTTGACATTGTTATCTTACCATTGATTTGGTAAGTAACCATATCTTTGGATGTAAAAGGGACGGGCAAGGGTCATCGTATAACCATGATTAGCAATGTTGTAAGATATCTTAGCATTTTCTTTAGGGACTAAGATCATTTTGAAAGGCAACATGGATAGCGTCATCGAGGGACTATGATCTTGTATTTTGTTTATTTTTGCTAAGATACCTCACATGCATAATATGGCCATTTTTGTAAGGAAACCAAGTGGATTTACCCTAAGGGTGTTTGTGTGCAAATGTATTTGACTTACATGCATTGTTTATCTTGAATTAGGGTTATCTACTTGTTGATTTTTATCTTCTCATACAAACCCTGATTTACTAGCATTGATATGAAAGCGGTAAATTGCGGAAAAGTAAATTTACTATGCTATTACATCACTTGGGGATGGGGGATATAAATTTACAAATGGGGATGACAAGTAAAGTAAATCCTAATTACTATTACAAGGTTTTGACAATTACATAATTTATAATGTAAAAATAGTAAAATATACAAGATGTAAAGTGAGAGAAATTGTTTTTTAGGGTTTTTTTTATAGAAAAAAGGTTTTGTAATTAATTTCATTGAAGAAAAACCTAAGTCTAAGTTA